CTCTCTCTCTCTCTCTCTCTCTCTCTCTCTCTCTCTCTCTCTCTCTCCCTCCCTCCCTCCCTCCCTCCCTTCCTTCCTTCCTTCCTTCCTTTCTAGACAGGGTCTCATTGTATAGATATTGCTGGCCTGGAACTCACTATGTAAACCAGGCTGCCTTAAACTCACAGAAGTCTGCCTGCCTCTGCCTCCCCAGAGCTGCAGTTAAAGGAGGATTACACATTTGAAACCAACCTGAGCAGTTTAGTAAGATGGGGCCCGAAGTGTAGCACAGTGGATTAGTGCTTTTATGGCTTTGTATAAGGTCTGGTTCAGATACCAGTAGTACACACACGCACACACACACACACACGGGGGGGGGGGGAGCGGGGAGGGACAGGGAGAGAAATTGTATGGGGGAGATGTATCCCTTGAAAGAGTACCTGTCCATTTATCTCTGCCCAGGCTCCAGGGACCTTATCATGACCTCGAATCCAGTTATGCAAAACTTCAGCAGGCTGGTCCCAAGAAATCTAGGTGAGCAGAAATATGGGTTATGAGGCCTAGAGATGACACTTAACTTTTCTCTCCCATCAGAGAAACAAGTGGAGACACATAGGGCAAACTGGCTTCCAAGCTGACCCCGGGTCAGGAAATGGTCTCCAGGAACCTACTCAGAAGTAGAGGGCTGTGACTTGGCTGTGTGTAATTGATATAAATACCTCTGCGTTCTCCTTCTTCTGGATGCCTTCATATGTTGCACCCTCTTCTGGCTGGGGAGTGCGAGGTGCTTTTCCATCAGCTATGAGTTGGACAGCTTCTACCTAAAGCCAAAACCAGTACTAGTATGAGGGACAGAGAGTCATAAAGGTGTGGCCTGTCCAATGGGAGCTTGTGTCCACCAGACTGACTACCTAGAAATCTGCTCAGAAAGTCAGGCTGTGGTGACAACTGCCATCTGTTTCTTCCCGTCTGCGTACATGCCAAGCACATAGGATATGACAGCTACTTTAGGGAAGTTATCCCTTACAGACATCACAAGATTCCTGAAAGGCATATAGCACATTCCTGATTTGCAAATGAGGTAGCTGTAATTTCCAGAAAAGTTGGACCACTAACTCTAGACTCAGCCACATTTGGCCAAGGATAGCGATGAATACAACCAAACACAATGTTATACATAAACTAACTTAAAACACCAAAATTTTTTTTTTGCTAACTCAATTGCACATCTTTTGAGTGTGAACTTTGTAGAATACAGTGTCATGACACTGACAAAGACAAAGACAAAGTCAATGACAAAGAGTTTGACATGCCCAAACCCTAGGTGCGCCCACTCCAACATCAAGCCTGCACTCAAGCACGACTCCTTGTTGGGGCTCGAGGTGAAGCTTCGGAGCAAAGCTAATGCTTAGCATAAGCAAGGCCCCAGTTCATCCTAGAGAGACGGGAAGGCAGGGGAGGATGGGCCATTCTGCCCATCATGGTAATGCTAGCTATCCATGGCATTACGCTTTGGGATGTGTCTGACTTCTCTTTCCTAACACATTTGCTGGGAGGCCCATGTATGCCCGTGTGCTATTTTGATTGTAATTATCCATTTTGAGCACCTGCTATGTGCGAGGTCCTTTACACAAATGACATCATGTTTTCAGAATACTCGTACAAGCCAGATAGTTTTCTGAATTGTACATAGGAAGGAACCAAGGCCAAAGAGCAAAGGCTTGCTGTTGTCAGTTCATAAAGCATCATTCTGTGGGTAGCAGACCATGGATTTGAAGACAGATCTCTCTGACACTAGGGACCCTCTGACTGAATGGCTAAACGACATAAACAAGTCTCACTCTTCCTTCACATCAACAACTACTTAATAGAATCTTGCTACTTTTTCTACCAAATTCTTGTTGGTGTGGAGAAGTTGGGGGGGCAACCAAATGGCATAGAAATTGCTTGCTGAATCTTTTGAATATTTTTATGAATAAAATACTTTACTTCATGGTATATATGCATGTTTAGAATCTTTTACTCTGAGCACATCGGAATAAATAAGTTAATAATCACATTTTACCCTGCTACATAGACTAAGTAAATATACTTTTAAGGGAAATCTAAGTTACATAGAAAAAAATTTTTAAAAAAATTTTACTTTTCCTTATAACAAGTCATTATCAACAGGGCTGGAGATTCACGTATTCAGCAAGAGGATACAGCAGTTTAGTTGTTGTCTTGGCCGTTCCATCCTTTTGAAGAGGAACAAGTAATCATCACAGACTATGAGACTTTCAAGCTCCAATTTACATTTCTGGTGTGTGCTACCATGCCTGGCTGGGCAAATTCTTGAGGAAAGAAAAACAGTCATCAGATGTTAAAGGTTTGCTAAATTCATGCTGATGGTGTGAGTATACTGACCATGGCCTTTATCCCCTCAGGAAAAAGGAACCGGTTATAAAGCGTGTCCACTGTGTCATTGGGTTTGATGTTACATGATCTCTGAAGAAGGATGGGTCCTGTATCTAAACCATCATCTGCCCAGAAAACAGAAAAGCCAGCTTTCTTATCTCCCATGATTAGAGTCCTGTGAAAGAAGAGTTTTGATTTAAAATGCTGGCTGAGTGTATCAAGGAGAGAACTGGTCAGGTTAAAGGTAAGAAGGTTACAATGCAAACACAGATAAGAGAGTGCAGTGGCCTACAGATGTTCCTGGCAGAACTCAGAATCATCAGTGTTTGTAGAGAGCGACACCCCTACGTTGCTAGCACTGCATCCTCGTGTGTGTGTGTGTGTGTGTGTGTGTGTGTGTGTGTGTGTGTGTGTAGTCTTGCAGTAATGGCTTATGTGGATCTTAAAAGATGTCACAATCCATCCTTACTGCCACCCACTGACGGAAGGTACCAGCTTTCTTCTTCAGGACTGAGTCATTTTCATGCCTTCCCATACTTCCTACGTTACACTCAATCATATACTAGACAGAATGAGAATGAACAATGTAACAGGGTACTTAACAATGTAACAGGGTACTTAACAATGTAACAGGGTACTTAACAATGTAACAGGGTACTTGTGAAAAGGAAACACTGACAGTTAATTTAGACTGCATAATTTAGTATAAACATCACCTAAACTTAGAATTAGCTCTAGACTGACTTTGTAAACTGTAGTGTCAGTTGATTAAATCAATGGTTCATCCTGTGTGCTGTATACAACCCAGACTAAGAGAAATTCTTAGCATGGCTCTATAGGGACTTGTATAACAAACAAACACCTGGATATGAGGACAAATATCTATAAACTCATCTTAGAGAGCAGACACATACAGAGAAAGTATGAAATGATACTTTGACAATCCCCTAAGTCATTTTTTTAGATTTATTTTTATCTATATGTATGTGCCTGTGAGTGGATGTCATGTGTGTTTGGATGACTACAGAGATGAGAAGAGGTCGCTAGATCTTGGGGACTTGGAGTTACAGGCTGTTGAGGGATAGATTTGGGTGCCAAAACCAAACTCTGGTCATCTGTAAAAGCAGCATGTGTTCTTAACTTCTGAGCCATCTCTGGAGCCTCAACCCCTCTCCCTACATCATTTGTATTTCTCTAAGCTATCAAGCAAACAACACCTAAATCAGTCATCCAAAGAGTCTCTCTTTCTATAAATATTGAAGAATTATCATCATACTGCCGTGAGCCTTGAAAATATCCATATGCTTTGACCCAATGATTTTGCACATGGAAAGATTCAAAATGGAAAACAGATCCAAGTGTAAAGGTATCTTCTACTACGACTACTGCTGCTGCTGCTGCTGCTGCTGCTGCTGCTGCTGCTGCTGCTACCACAAGAACAGGGGGAAATGAATTCCTGGCATAAATCTTTAAATATCATAGAGTATTTTTCAGCATACTTAAACCACATATAGATTTTTTTGGTATATCCAACAATCTGATGCCAAGGGATACCAGGAAGGTGGCAGATAAGAGAACAAAAGTAAAGGTGGTGGGAAAGTTCTCAGCATAGTGCACCATGGTGTTGGGTACTCATGGAGTGTCAGGACTCAGCACAGTATACCATAGTATTGAGTACTTACGGAGTGTCAGGACTCAGCATAGTGCACTATGGTGTTGGGTACTTATGGAGTGTCAGGAAATCTCATGAAGCAGGTGTGAGAATGTTGGACAAAAATCTCTTTGAAAAGCTTTGAGTCAAAGGAAGGGAGATGGCTGATAAAGAAGGCAGTGTCCTGTAACTCTGCATTTTCTTAAATGTACTTGAGATCATCTGTATAAGAAGAAAAAAGTTCTGATACCATCACACACTATGAAGACTATGAAGATACCGGTCAAAAGTGCATAGATGTCCTGAGATAAACCAGCAGGAATCAAATTGATCATATTTGTCTGACCACTGAAGCTTTGGGGACCTGGTTACAGCCACTGGAATTGATAACCAGAGGTCATGGTTGGGGACATCTGTCCTACGTCATGTAGTGTCTCCAGCTCTCAGAGGTGTTAAACAACTAAAGCAATCAATCAGGATTTTGTGTCCATATGAAGTGTGTGTATGCTTGTGTGTGGGTACACACACATGTGTACATGTGCACCCCTGCTGAATGCATGTGTCTATGTGGATGTGTACATGTGGAGTACACACATATGTAAAGCTCGGGGACTGACATCAAGTGTCTGCCTCAGTTCTTCATTCGAGTTTTTTAGTCAGGCTCTCTCATGAGACCTTGAGGCCATTGATTCAGCCCGGCTGGCTGGTCAGTGAGCGCCAGGGAACAAGCCTACTTCTACCTCCCACTAGCTGGGATTAAAGACACAAGCCTCCATGCCTGGTTTTTATGTGGGTGGCAGGGATCTGAACTCAGGTCTGCATGCATGCACAGCAAACACATCGCTGACTGAGCCATCTCACCTCCCCGGCCCCAAGCACACCCAGTTCCTGCATCATGTAGGAGATAAACAGAAAAGCCACGAACTGTAGAATCGAGCTATCATCTTGGCAGTGATGGAGTCTCACCAGTTGATGGCAGAAGCTCCTCTGTGCCTGGGTAGGAGTGAGGGATGGTAGATGATGGAGCCGTGCTTTGGGCTGTCGATGACATCCATGGGGATGAACTGTGTGCAGAAGGGAAGCACGTTGAGCTCAGCACCCACCGACTGGTAGGCTTCTGCTACCTCCTTGATGGTTTTACCCTTGACTCTCCATCGAGGGAACTTGAACACAGGGGTCCCATCTTTCTCTGCGGCCAAAGCTGAGCACACAAAAAAGAGATTGTCCCTTTTCAAAAGACTGTGGTCTTATATTAACACACTGTAATACTGCAATTTCATACAACTTTTACAGGCTAAAAGCAGTGGGGAACAACTGAGATTGTGACTAGAATTTAATGGCGTTACTATTGCATTGGGCTCATCCACCTTTCAGGAGGGACACGCATAGTAAATGCATGGTGTATTCCAGTTTGAAAGTGGATGATATTTTCAGATGAAAAGGTCTTTTCTTAAAAGAACTCTCATTGCATTTCATTAATTTAGTGTATGTATGTATGTTCATGAGTGTGGATGTGTATGTGTGTGCATACATGTGCATGCACATACATGCATGTGTGTGCATGTGCATGTATGTCTACATATGTGTATGTGCATGTGCATGTGTGTCTGTATGTATGTGTGCATGTATGTGTGTTGTCTATTCATATATCTGTGTGTCGACGTGTGTGTGTATATGTGTCTGGTGTGTGTGTACATATCTGATGTATATGTGTGTGTGCATGTGTGTGTACAATGTGTGTATGTGTCTGGACATATGTGTGTTCATGTGCATGTGTGTCTCTGTGTGTGTACATGTATGTGCATGTGTTTGTATGTTCATGTGTGTGCATGTGTATACCTGCATGTGTACAATGTGTGTGTGCATACATGTGTGTGCATGTGCATGTGTGCATGTGCGTGTGTATGACAGCATATATATCTACCATAGACCATTTCCAGGAGCTAGAGCTGGAGGGTTTGCTTCTGTTCTTTCATTTCCTTTTTCTCTGCAGTTATCACAGTCCTAAAGAATGAGGTGAGGTTTCTGAGACCAAACCTGAGCTCTGAAGTGTTGTTAAGTCCCACAGGTGTCTGAATGGAGGCTAGTCCTTGATCAAGCCATTTGAAAGAGTCTGAGCCACCAGCACAATAATGCACAGAATGTTCATGTTCGTAAAATGTTCAAGAAATGTAGCTCACGTCAGATGGCAGATGGGTGGAGGTAAAAGCAGGATAATGGGGGACAGGGAGATGGCGCTGAGGGTACAAGTATTTGCCATGTTAACACAAGGACCTGAATTCAAATCTCCAGCAGTCGCAGTTTAAAAAGCTGGACACAGGGCTGGAAAGGTGATTCAGTAGTGTGGCTCCCAGAACTCGTGTTGACTGCCTGGTGACTACGTTCACAGATATAGAGATAGTTAAATTAAAATAGATATGTTTTGAGACATGATCCTGCTAGCCTAGAACTCACTCTGTAGACTATACTGGCCTTGAACTCACAAAGATCTGCCTGTCTTGGTCTCCCAGGGCCTGGAGCATGGCATTATGTCTGCCTAAAATGAAATAAATCTATTTTTAAAAACTGGACATGGTTGCACCTGTAACTCCAGCACTGTGGGGTCAGATAGGAGGACCACATGGGCTTGATGGCCTGCAGCCTAGTGAGAGACCTTGTCTCATGGGAGTAAGATAGAGAGGAACAGGGCAGGACACCTGACATCCTTCTCTGACCTCTACAGTACAGGCAAACACACACATGTGCACCTACACATCACTTGTGTGATAATGGAAGGAAGTTTCTTGGGGGAAAAATAGGGTAGAGAAGATGTTTTCACTGTAAAAACAAAGAGAGAAAGAGAGAGAGAGCTCTGCAGAGGTAGCATTTTGGGTTGGTAGCTTATTGGTCTCCTTGTTGTTGTGGGTTTTGAACACCCAGAACTGGTTTTGGCTTGCTCAATGGACTCTCCTGATGAGAGCTGTCAGCTGCTGTCATTATTAATTGCTTACAAGTCTGATGTAAGGTATAGCATTTTACATGCATTTTTCCCCTGTGAATTCTCACCATAGCCCTGTTAGGCACGGGCCACTGAATTGACTGTTAGTAAGCTAAGTGACTTACTTGTACAGGGTCACAAGTGGAAAGAGGCAGACTCTACATCTGATCAGTCTCCTGATCATACGCTGCTAAGCATGCTGCACTGTGTCAAGGCCATATTGTGTAGAAGTCGTGTTAGGTTGTCTTCTTTTTCTGTGTTATATCATGAGTTCCAAAGGTCATGACCAATGGAAAGAGGTCCTAACCCTGAGTCCAAGGGAACACCCCTTTCCCAGATCTATTTTGAAATGAGTCTGATAATCATATTTGTAATTCCAAAAACCATGCACATAGCAGGGATCGCTAGTTGTCTGCGCCCATCCTCCAGGGGTGGGGCCTTCTAGTGAGGCAGTCAGCTTTAGTTGTCAATTTGACACAACGTGGAATCACCATGGAAGAATGTCTCAATGAGTGACTGTTTTGATCAGGTTGTTCTATGGGCTGGTCTGTGGGGGATTATCCTGATCACCTTCGTTGAAGTGGGAAGACGCATCCAAGATGGATGGTCCCATTTCCTAGGTGGGGGATCTTGAACTGTTTGAAAGGGAAAAAGCTAGCTGAGCGCGAACATGCATGTCTGACCTCGTGACTCTGCTCCTGATCGAATGGATGTGATCTGACCAGCCCCCCAACTTCCTCACAACATGGACTATAACCTGAAACTGCAAGCCCAAGAACTCCTTCATCTCTTAAGTTGCTTTTGTCAGGGCATTTTTTAAAAAATTATTATCACAGCAACAGGAAACAAAACTAAGACACCTTGTACAGTTAGATACATAGCTACCTCAAATGCAATCTCAGGCTCCCCAGCGATTGAATGGGCCTATGTCTAACATCTGGCTGGTCGGGTATGAATGGAAGTGACTTGTGCCACTTCTGGACTGTGTCCATAATAAAGTGTCATTCCGTGCTCCCTCTGTTTCTCTTTTTGGTGTACATACATGTTTGTCTGAGCACATGCACATGTCCATGTGTTCACCAGTGTGTATAGAGGCCACAGGTCAATGTCAGGAGTGTTCCTTAATTCTTCTACATCTTATTTTTTGAGACAGGGTCTTTTACTAAACCAAGCGCTTGCCAATTATCTAAGTTATCGAGCCGACGAGTCCTAAGGATTCCCTTGTCTCCAGCTCTGACCCACAATGTTGGCATAAGGGACAAGGTCAGGGTACCAGCTTTTATGTGAGTGCAGGAGACTTGAACTAGGTCCTGAAGCTCAGGTGGCAAGCCCTTTAGTAACTGAACCACCAACCCAGCTCCCTCCTTTCCCTGTTTGCTTGCTGGAACATAGACCTGGTTGGGGCTGAGGCTATGACAGCCTTGTCTTAATATGGCACAACAACAGCAGCAATCACATGCAATGCAACAAAACCAGCTCTGATTACCAACCAGCCTCGAGAGTATTGGACCCCGTGTCCCCAGATGCACTCACCCAGTGGATCAGCCTTTCCATCTTTGTCTGGCACTGTGAACACTCCCACTACTCGGTGGCCTTCTTTCAGGAGGTGGCTATAGACTTCCTGTCCAAACAGGCTCTGGCCAATAAGTGCCAACTTCAGCTTGTTTTTTAAATAAACCTGTGAACGAGTATAGTGACAATGATTGCTGTGGACAGAAAACAGTTGCGTGAAATGTTGAGGAATGAGTCACATAAGACAATTCGAGGACTACCAGAAAACCCCCAAAACAAAACAATTGGTCTGGTGTGATGGCTGGAGGGTCACTAGTTCAAGACCAGCCTGGGCTACATAATGTGACTTGCAGTCCAGCTGTGCTACTTGGGGTGATAATGTTCTCCCCAAACTAGACTATCTAACAAAAAACACAGTTTCAGGCACGAGAAAGAGTCAACTTCTAAAAAAAATCAAACTGGATTTGACTGGAAGGCCTCTTCCCTGAGGACTAACTTTCATAGTACTAGAAGGTGCTATGCAAGCTACCAAGGGAGAGAAGCAATCAATAGTCCTACCTGGGGACTGGAGAGATGGCTCAGTGGTTAAGAGCACTGACTGCTCTTCCAGAGGTCCTGAGTTCAAATCCCAGCAACCACATGGTGGCTCACAGCCATCTGTAATGGAATCCAACGCCCTCTTCTGGTGTGTCTGAAAACAGCTACAGTGTACTCATATACATAAAATAAATATATATCTTTAAAAAAAATAGTCCTACCTGGATGTAACATTTATGAACCACAATGACCATTAGAACATGATATTCCTAAAGGGGCAATAGTGGCACTTACATCTTGGTGGTAACCAACAGCTTTAGAGTTGGACTTGAGGACTTAAAACCCTCCAAATAGGAGGGAATTTATACCCAACCCCCTATGGCTAGTGAGGTCATAAGTCTTGGAGGAGGATGCACCACTGCCACTTTATTAAACTCATATGATTCCCAACTGCATTCTAAATACTCATCCTTATCCTACAGAGAAGTGTAACTCTCACTCCTTAGCAAAGAAGATATTTTTGGTAGTAAATGGAGATAATTACAGAAAGCCACATGATTGTTTTAAATGCAGAGAACAACTGATTATGTATGCCCAGCCCCAACTGATAAATCTACATACAACTCCTGCATGTAACTGATGCATGTACATACAACTCCTGGACCTAGCTGATGCATCTACATACAACTTCTTTACCTAAGGTTACATGACAGTTATCAAATCCCAGGTGTCCCAAGTGGCCTGTCCTAAATACATATATACAGGCAATGCACACACACATACACACACACACAAACACACACACACACACACATCAATAATAATTGAAAAATCACAAATTTGAGAGGGGTAAAGGAGAGATAGAAGTGTTATAAACACAGTACTCATATATGAAATTCTCAAATGATTTAAATTTTTTTAAAAAGCAGGAGAGCTGGATATGAGGTCATGCACATGTAATTTCAGTGCTGAGGGAACAGAGACAGGCGGATTATTAAAGCTTGCCAGCCAGCCAGTCCAGCTGAATGGGCAAGCTCTAGGCCAATGAGAGACTCTGTCTCAAAAACAAGGTAGATGGTTAGGTGGTTTGAATATGCTTGGCCCAGGGAGTGTCACCATTAGGATGTGTGGCCTTGTTGGAGCAGGTGTGGCCTTGTTGGAGGAAGTGTGTCACTGTAGGGGTGGGCTTTCAGACCGTCCTTCTAGCTGCCTGGAAGTCAGTCTTTTCCTAGCAGCCTTCAGATGAAGATGCAGAATTTTTGGCTCCTTCTCTAGTACCGTGTCTTCCTGCCATGATGATAATGGACTGAACTTCAGAATCTGTAAGCCAGCCCCAATTAAATGTTAAGACTGATGGGCACAGAAAGATGGCCTGGTAGTTAAAAGCTCTTGCTACTCTTCCAGAATACCCATATTCAGTTACCTGCTCCCATGTTAGGTAGCTTACAACCACCTGTAACTTCAGCTTCAAGGGATTCAACTCTCTTCCGATCTATGTGGGTACATACACACAACACACCAACACACACATTAAGAAATAAAAAACCAAAGTAGATTGTGCCCAAGGCACAAGCCTGGAGTTGGCTTCTGGCCAGTACACAGACACACAGACACACAGACACACACACACACACACCAAGAAAAATATAAAAATATTCTATAAATATTATCTCTGTATCCTATAATTATGGCTGAAATAGAATCTTTCTGCTAGCCACCTTACAAAAATTTCAACTTTACCTCATACAATTACTAATGCAATATACATATAATTTATTTATTCTATGTATATGAATACGCTGTCACTGGCTTTAGACACACCAGAAGAGGGCATCCAATCTCATTACAGATGGCTGTGAGCCACCATGTGGTTGCTGGGAATTGAACTCAGGACCTCTAGAAGAACAGTCAGTGCTCTTAACTGCTGTGCCATCTCTCCAGCCCCCTAATGCCAGATATTTTAAGACACAGAAAACACTGCTTTCAAAATACACAGAGGGGCCAGGCTGTATGTAGCTCTTTGGGGGAATATTTGTTCCCCATGTTCAAGACCTTTGGTACAGCAACCAGTGTTACCAAAATGGGGGTGTTAGTGGAAAACCTCAAAGCACACAAAAGCCAGAAGACCTCGTCTTTCAATGCAGTGCGGTTGATATGTTCCATGTGTCTGCCATCTAGCTAGTTGGAGTTGAAGTCCAGATGGGTTGAGAAGGGTGTTTAAAGCAACCATGTTGTCACTGAAAATATTACACTCATTAACTCTCTCTGAGCTTAACTGGTGGCTCCCTGCCCCTCTCCCTCCCCTCAGGTGCCGTGAGTTGAACCTGAAGCCTGAGCTCTACTATAGAGCTACACCCCAGCCCAAGGTGAGTCTTTAACATTGGGAACTACTCAGGATTTCAGGACTCGTAGTGTATTTGTGAATTTATAAGATTCCAGAAAACCAGCCTTAAGATATTTCTTGCTTTCATTTCTCCAAACACTGTCTGAGTACTGACTTGACAGTACTCAGAATCTGCCATTTCAAATGTGGGTTCTGGGTTCTCATGACAAATTTAGTGAGTCAGAACCAGAGTCCCAGGAAGCTTCATCTTAAGAAGCTTCCTAGTGATCCGTGAGCATACTAACATTTACCAGATTCACCAAACCACAAGAAATACACTGTCCTGGGAAGCTTGGGGCAGAAAGAAAAAGTAGAAATAACTAGAAACATTTGACTAGAATGTTGGTCCATGTCATGTATGATTTGACTACACAGACTCTCAGAAACAGGCATTCATAACTCATTTTTACAGTTGAAGATATTAAAGCAATTATGTGTGGAGACATAGCCTGAAATCCAGTAGTCATCAGGAAACGGGATGGATTCTCTAGTTTGCTTTCCTATTGCTGTGGTAAGCACCATGACCAAAGCAACTGGAGAGGAAAGAAGTTTATTTGGCTTTAGTTCCAGGTCACAGTCCACCACTGAGGGAAGTTAGAGTAGAAATGAAAGCGGAAACCATGGAGGAAAGCTGCTTACTGGCTCCCTCCCTCTTGCTCAGTTAGCTTTCTTATTCAACCTAAGTGTCTAGGGATGGTGCCGCCCACAGTGGGCTGGGCCCTTCCACATCAATTATCAGTCAGGAAGATTTCTCTTACATCCCCACACTCCTTTAATTTGTCTCTCTCCATTGTTCTCTGTGCACATTTCTCTTTAGGACTCCCTGCACTACACGATGCATAGAAAAAAATGGCCCCTGTCTAGGAATTCATCAGCCAGGAGGGAAGGCACTCAAGTTAGTTGTATCTATGACTTAGTGTTTAGATGGGTGGGCACAATGAGGTTCTGAAAGGAGAATATATCACTGGAAGGGATTTCTTTATAATGGATAAGAGATAGTATATTTGTACATTTGTGTCCTTATGTGTTTGTGCACATGTGCACATAAGTGCAGGTATATGTGTGTGTGTGTGTGTGTGTGTGTGTGTGTGTGTGTGTGTGTGTGTGTGTGTTCATAGAGGCCAGGCATCACTGCCTGGTGTTCTCCTCTATCACCCTCCATGTTATTATTTGTGACAGGATCTTTCACCAAAACTGGAGCTGACTGATTCAGCTATGCTGGTTCAGTTGACTCCAGGAATCCTCCTGTCTCTGCCTTCTCAGCTCTTAGGCTTCAGGTGCACACTACCACACCCAACTTTTAACACAAGTGCGGGAATCTGAACTCAGGACCTGATCCTTCTATAGCAAGCACTTTAGCCTGCTGAGCCATCTCCTTCTCCCCAAAGGAATTCTCAAGCAGAATCTCAGGCACCTCATCTTGGGAGCTGGACAACAAAGTGGGGAGGATTATGGGAGAACCCTGGGAAGTTCCAGGCAGAAGAAAATAAATAAATAGCATAGTATTCAGATCGGGGAGTTCTGGGATGCAGACAAACATCCATGGAGTCGGGGACTGCAGGGGGCTCTGTCTGTTGCCATGGAGTCAGGAACTGTAGGGCTTTGTCTGTTGCCATGGAGTCAGAAACTGCAAGGGCTCTGTCTGTTACCATGGAGTCAGGAACTGCAGGGGCTTTGTCTGTTGCCAGTAATTTGTACCATAGTCTGAAGACAGTAGGAATCCCCGAGTGACTTGAGAGTGACAGGAGAGTGACGAGGACTCATTTCTGGGTTAGCAGACATCTGAGGCAACCCTGTGGAGGCATGACCTGGCCCCAAGGAGGCATGTCTCTTGTGTTTAAAAATGGAGCAGAGAGTGAAAATAACAGCCAACATCATAGCTGGCTTTTGTATATTCCTAGGATGTATTTGGAGTGTGCAAAGGCCCAGGTCTGCTGTTTCAAGCTCTCACCTGGATACGAGCTGCATGTCATGCTTCACAGAGAGATGAAGCTATACGAGATTTGCAGATGTCATCATCAGTGACAAGCTTGTGCAGCTCGGTTTCTTATCATTCCATGAAGAAGGGATTCATGTCAATTGTCATGCTGATTTTTCCCTCAGTACTAGGGGCCAAAGCTGAGTCACTGTGGGTGCCAGGCCAGAGGTCTGCCAGTAGCCTAGCCCTCATTGCTTTTTAAAATGCTTTTCAAGGTGGTCATGGCACAAACCTTTAATCTCAGCCCTCCAGATGCAGAGGCAGGTGGATCTCTGTGAGTTCAAGGCCAGCCTGATCTACAAAGCAAGTTCCAAGACAGCCAGGGCTACACACAGGAAACCCTGCACATGGAGAAGCACTGGAGAAGCCAGGAAAGTTAAACACAGAACTTGTCCTCAATGGAATGAGGGGCTTAGCTGTTTCCCTAGATTACTGGAGAGGAGGCAAAGGGGATGTAGTTTACAATCTTTGGTACACGTTAGGCCAGGCTCTGCCTGTATCACCCAGAATATTATGTTTGTTCATCCCAGTCTCCCCCCGCCCAATAGAACTGTGAGCATTACTTTGATCTCACAGAACTCATCCTTACGAGTGATGTCATTTGCGCTTTACAACAGCCTAAGTGACTTCTGTGCTATCTTAGAGCCAGGCCAATCCCAACACCCACAGGCATAAAGTCAGTCTCCCTAGACCCTGATCTTGAGCATTGTTCTAAGCCAATGGTTGTACTTTTGGAGCTGAGTTATTGTTCTCTGAAAACTTTCTTCCAAAATTGGGCCATGCTTAAGTATGGCTAAAGTAAAGTGATCTGGGTCAGACTCTCGAAGTCTTGGCCTAGCACTGGTTACCAAAACCAGGCTGAGCCAGGTTTCATTCTTCTCTCTCCATGATCGTTTCTTTCTGCTTGCTGTAAAGCCTGCAGGACCCATCCACAAATGCAGGGAACTGAACTCATGCCCTCTGCAGGAACTCTAAGCCAGCTTTCCAAGCACCTCTCAAACATGCATATGTATGTGTATACAATGTATATGATGTATGCTTATGATGTATATGTATGTATATACTTTTTTAAGGAAAAAAAAGATAAAAAAAAATTTGAAAGAGGAGGCCTGTCAGGAGGTGAGGTCTGAAGAGGAATGTGTAGCCAGGTGACTACAGAGAACTCCTGGCATGAAACTGATAACCACACATCTCAAAGCCTTTAAAGAAAGGGGCAGACACCATCTTTGCTCTCCAACGTGTCCCTATCACTGTGAAGCGATCTCTCCGAGGTTTTTCCAGAACCAAGCAGATGCGGGTACCATGCTCTTAACCCTCCAGAACTGAGAGCTAATGAAATCCCCTTCTATCGGTTTCCAGCCTCCTGCATTTCATAATAGCCACAGAAAATAGATTAACATGAAGTATAATTCAGACGCAATCAAACACACCTTTTCTTGAGCTTGTGCGTGCCTTGAGCTTAGGCTGTGTGAGCGTAGTTACGATAGCAGCAGTCTTGTGTGTGTATGCCTTGATTCCCGGGACCAACAAGAAGGAAGGCAAGAACATAAAACTTGCCCTCTCACTCCTATACATGTGCTGTGGCACACCCCCACACACACACATCCTCAACTCCAAATAAAATGTGTTTTTAAATTTTTATAAAAAAAACTGCCAGACAGTTTTCCAAAGTGGTTGTACCGTTTTATAGTCTTATTAGCCATGTATGTGTCCGTTTTAAGATAATTTTTACAGAGCACAGTGCAAAGGATGTGCTTTACATTATCTGTCCTGGTTCTTCACTGTTTTCTTTTTGACCGTGAAGAACTATGACCACGTCCCAGGTCTGTCCGGGGCAGCCTGCTGCTTGGCCCAGCCGCGTTTCTGTTCCTGGTATCTGTCACTTGCCTTGTTCAGCTTTTTTTTTTTTTTTTTTACTGAAAACTTCTATAACCCTAGCATGGAAATCTCCTCATCCTTCAAAACTCCTTCCTTTCAGCCCTCCAACAGTCCACTGACAAGGTGGTGGCAAACACAGGATAGTAGACACAGCTCCCTGCTGTCTGTGCCCCAGAACCAGATTGCACGGCCAGAATGGTTAAAGAAACTAAGGAAGGATCCGAGGGTTACCCAGCAGAACGGTCAAAATCCGAGGGCAGACAGGTCTCTTATAAAAGATGACTGCGCCCCAAAGGCACTAGCTTTGATTGTACGGAGCAAAATAAATCCTGACCATTTATTTGGATTCTGCCTTCAACTTTTTTACATATGGCATTGTCAGAGAGAGAAAAAAAACAATGGAGAGTAAATCTTTTATAACACAGTCAGGACGTGCTGATTACAAAAGAGATTATGTACACGGGATAGACTCTTTCCTTAACCGGAGCAGCCTGTATTGTCTATCCCCAGACGCACCGAAGTGCTGAAGGCAGAGCCACTTGCAACGTGTCGGCTCCCGTTCCATTTCTAGAAGCGATCTGATGCAATCCCATGTCTGTGGGCTGGGCGGGGGCCTGGTTCTTACTCTATAGTTTTGCAACGTTCCAGCGAGGCTACTCCTGCTGCGCTGGGTGATCCTGGAAATCTGGCCGCCGCCACGACTCCACTCGCTACTCCGTGGGAAGCACCAGGCTGTCCCAGCTTGCAGTACTTAGCTTGCCTGGGTCCCAGTCACATCTGGTAGACCTTGGAAGGCAGTCTCACTCACACTTATCCACCGCCCCATTCCTAAACCGCTCACATCGGAGCCATGAAATGCAAAAAGGAAGAAAACAGACTGGCTCTTGATCCTTTACTCATTGTCAGTCCCCAGCTTGTCATCCCAGCCAGATCTGACAACCAAGTCTGCAGCTGATTCTCCGCAGCAGACAAAGGCTCACTTGACAATTCCCATCCCGGATACTGTCGCAGGCTTCTCTGGAGTCCCCCAGTCTGAAAAAAAGCTGTTGTCCTTTCTAGCAAGGTCTGAGCATCACTGTCCACCCTGGCCTCGCCGTCCCGGCCCTGCAACCCCCGAAGTCTAGAAAGCAAGACCAGGATTTGGATGCTCGCCTTGACAGGACTCACCCGGCTGGTGGAGAAGTGCCGTAGCGCCTGGCTGCCCCACCACAGCATGATGGAGAGGAGCGAGCGATTGCCAGGCAGGCGGCGGGAGTGGGTACCAGGGCTTCTGAGGGTTGAGTCATCAGCTCAGTCGGAGCTCCGCTGACGGCCCCGCCCCCCTCGAATGGCAAGTCCCGCCCCTCACCGCTGGCCGGAGCTCCTGCTCCTAAGCACACGTGACCTGTGCTGGTATGGGGAACTAACCTGTGCCTAACCACAGGGGCAGCTCTTGGAAGCTACCCGGACTCTGCCTCTGCTCCATGGATAGCCTGAGTATTCGCTAGAGGTAGGACCTTCCACAGGTTACTCAGACCAGCGGAATCAGGCAGAGAGATGTGCCTTATAATTTAATCGGACACCCTGTAAGGATTACTTTTTATTATCAATTTGGCCCAAAGTAGGATGACTTTGGGAAAGGGATTACCTAGATAGACCAGGCACGCCTGGATGGACTATTTCTTGGGTTAACTGAGGTAAGAAGATACGTCCTGATTGTCGGTGGCACCATTTCAAGGGCTAGATCCCGAACTGCGGAAAAGTAGAAACAAAACAAAAAAAACCATGCTGAGCAGTAAGCTCATTTATTTTCTATCTCTCTGAGTGTGACTAGTTGCCTCGGGTTCCCGCCTTGACTTCCGGACACTGATGGATAGTAACCTGGACTCCTACATTGAATAAACCCTTTCTCTTCTAAGTTGCTTTTTTGTCGGAGTGATTCGCAACAGAAATGAATTAGAACACTTCCCAAGTTACCAGCCTGACAGTCTCCAGAAAGCCACAGGCTTGAGCTGGGAAGATAAGGCGCTGGGCACCCTTGCCTTAGGCATAGCCTGATGTGGCAATCATCAGGAGAGGGGAGGGTCTGTAAGATACTGTCCACTGGGCTTGCGCCCAGTTCTAGTCCCCAGTAGATAACTCATACCTGCATTTGTCCCTTGCCTCTATGAAGAAACTTGCACACCCGCTGTAGTTGAACCCTTGTCCCAAAATGATTGCTTTTTTTTCCCCTTTTTAAAGATTTATTTATTTATATGAGTACACTGTAGCTGTCTTCAGACACAGCAGAAGAGGGCATCAGATGATTGTGCGCCACCATGTGGCTGCTGGGAATTGAACTCAGGACCTCTGGAAGAGCAGTCAGTGCTCTTAACCACTGAGCCATCTCTTCAGTCTGTTTCGTTCACTCTTGTTTCTTGATATTCTTCTGCCATGTGATTATTGTTTCCCAACTGCTTATTACGAGCTTATTAATTGAACAAATTAACAGCTTTCTCTGTCACATCCATACAGATGAGTTACTTTTTGTTGGACCCCACTATCCTTAATCCCCTTAAACAATTCACTCGATTTATTTAGATACTCATGAGGGGCAACAGATGACACTGGATACCTAAAGAAGCTGTTAAAGCCAGATCTGAAAGATCGTTAGTTGTTTGTTTTTTTACCCCCACCTAACTTCATGAACCATATACTCTTTTACCCCAAAGATGTAACAAACAAACATTTGGTGAAATGTGTCTATTCTCACTGAAGTCTCTGAGAGTGTTGGGGTGACTCTGGTATTTTCTTTGTAATGATATGAAGCAAATGTTACTGAATTCTTGCTTAAATCCATTTCACTTTTGAACACTCAGAGTTCATGCGCATTGGTTAGGGAGCACCTTTCCATTTATTTATTTATTTATTTATTTATTTAAAGATTTACTTCTGCTGGAGAGATGGCTCAGTGGTTACAAACATTGACTGCTCTTCCAGAGGTCCTGAGTTCAATTCCCAGAAACCACAGGGTGTCTCACAACCATCCGTAATGGGATCTGTATGTCCTCCTCTAGTGGTCTGAAGACAGGATACTCATATACATAAAATAAGTAAATAAATCTTTGGAAAAATATTTACTTCATTTTTAATTAATGCAAAGTGTTGTTTGCATTGGAGTGCTTGTGGCCTCAGAGAGGAGTTACAAGAAGCTGTAAGTCACCGGAAATGGATGGTGGTAACTGAACTCTGGTCTTCTGTAAGACCGGTATGGGCTCTTAACCACTGCCCTGGTCCAAGACTTTGCCTGTAATCCTACCAATATCTCAAGAGTAGATTGTTGTTTCAGCTTTACTGACATGTATATCAGCTTGTGGAAATTGTGAGGCTTGAACTAAACCTCAAATGGTCAAATGGACATCCACCCCAGATCATTTTACTTAAGATTCTGCCTTCAGGAAGCTGGAGAGATAGCCCAGTGGTTAACAGCACTCACTGCTCTCTGAAGTTCCTGAGTTTAATTCCCAGCATCCACATGGCAGCTCACAAGTGTCTGATGCCATCTTCTAGTATGCAGATGTACATGCAGATAAAGAACCCATATAGATAAAACATACATATACATATACATATACATATACATATACATATATATATATATCTGAATCTGCCTTCAGTATCTGAGGAATAAAACAGACTAAATATTTTCTAAGCTGAAATATCTTTTGATTTTGACATTATCATACATCATAAATAAAAAGTAAATTTTAGTTAGGTAGTAGAATGCTGTCATTAAGAAAGAATGTATAAAGATTGATAAAATGGAATTGTAAATAAGATACATTGGAAGTTTTGTAAACATTTGTACATTTATCAAGATAATAATGTACAGAGCACTGTAATACAGAAAAAATATAAAAATGAACAAAACACAATCGGTTTCCTCAGTTTGTTTTATAATCTAAAGCAACTGACAAATGATAACTTGGGAGGAAGGAAATTCTGGGGGTGAAGTGAGTTTGGGGTCCCAAGGCCTCTGAGTCCTGACTTGAGACACAATAAGTGATCCATGCATCTGGGAATGAAAAGACAAGGAGAGCTGAGGTGCCTGCAGCTGTGACGTGGCCTTGGATTGCAGCCACCTGTGGCCACGGATCAATTGGGTTCACCTGAAAGGGAGGCTGGAAATGAAAACAAGGGATGGAGGGAGAGAAGAGATGAAGCCAAGACAAAGTTCTCTGATCAAGGATTGAAGTTTAAAGTTCAGCTCTCAATTTAAAGGGAAAGCCCCACAAACCCTTTCTTGTTTTTTCTGGAGATGGGTGGGGGAACCCATCCTTAGTCACAGTCAGAGATGTCTCAAGGCAAGCTCAGCCGGCAGTTATTCTTCTAAGTTCCTGTAGCAGGCTAAACGTGCAACCAAGGTGGGTAACTCCACCTAGGTTCTATTATTTGGTCTATTGTGATAAACAAGATCTTTCAGGTCTGCTCAAGGCTGAGGGTAGGGCATATTTTAGAATAAAGCTGTTTGTGTCATATTGTCCTCTTTCAATAGGCTTGTTTTGACTGATTAACTTTTGACCACTTTGCCTATGTGCCTAGTTTTAAAATAAATTATGCTGACTATTCCATTTTATTGTATATGAGAATTATGTAACCCTTATGAATCTCATTGCTATTAACTGCTTTTTAACTTGTACTTGCATACGTGTGTGTGTGTGTGTGTATGCAGTTATTACTGCTTAAAATTGCTCAATAGATAATGTTATAGGGAGTTAAAGAAATGACTCAAGCAGTTAAGAGCACTGGCTGTTTGTCTTAGAGTTTCATTGTTGTGAAGAGACACCATGACCAAGGCAACTCATAACAGCAACATTTAATTGGGGCTGGCTTACAGGCTCGGATCCATTATCATCATGGACCTGACATGAGAGGAGCTGAGAGTTCTGCATCTTGTTCTGAAAGCAAACAGGAGAAGACTGACTTCCAGGCAGCTAGGAAGAGGGTCTCAAAGCCCACCCCCACAGTGGCACACTTCCTCCAACAAGGCCACGCCTCCTAATAGTGCCACTTCCTGGACCAAGCATATTCAAACCACCACACTGCTCTTCCAGAGGGCCTGGGTTCTACTCCCAAAATCCACATGGTGGCTCATAACTGTCTTTAACTCCAGTTTCAGGGGATCCAATACCCTTTCTGGCTTCTGTGGGAATAAAGTAGGGGTAAGTGGTAACATACATACATGTAGGAGAAAACCACATAAACAAAATAACAAAATATATATTAAAAGAAATGTTATGATAAAACCAAAACCCCAGCACTAGAGAGCACCAGTATAGGTCCCTGTGATAGGGAGAACTGAAATTTATTAAACGAGTTTAATGGTGATCTAAAAAAATAAAAGCTTGAAGCTGGGCACGAGTAAACTATAATTCCAGCACTAAAGAGACAGAAATGCGGGATTGAAAACTTCAGGCCAGTCTCGTGAGATCCTGTCTTAAAAATCTGAGGTGAGGCACTCTCCAGCCTTATTTTGGCCCCAGCCTGAAGTGGGGGTGTGTAGAGAATGAGACTGAAGGGGGGGGGAGGGAGAGAGACAGAGAGAAGCTCAATAGAGTCAGATCACTCAGTGCTAATACAACATTTTTTCTCTGTAAATTATAAAAATTATAAGGCTGTGTACTTGCTTTTCAAAAGACTATATTTTTAAAATTCATGTCTCTGTGTGCAGGTGCCTGTAGAGGCCAGAAGAGGGCATTTCATCCCCTGAACCAGAGTTAGAGCTTTTGTGAACTGCTGGACATAGGTGCTGGGAATTGAGCTTGGGTCCTCTGGAAGAGCAGCAAGGATCCTTAACCTCAGGGTCATCTCTCAAGCCCCTGGATCCTGTACTCCTATGCTTTGGTATGATATGATATGCTGTCACCAAGCTCATGAAGAGACTTGGGCTAGCAAAGGAGCAGTAGGTACTTTAAAAGAGGCAGGGCCAAGTAGGGAACACTGAGATGGTGTGGTGAGATGGGATTCCTGCAGCTGAATTTTTTAGAGACAGCAGGATATTAAAAAGCCAGGCCACTTTGTGTGCTTGGCCCTCCCTGCATAAGAAAGGTTCCCTTTCTGTTTGTCTGCCATGTTGGGACATAGTTAGAGAGTTCTCATAGGATGTCAGGGCCATGCTGTTTGGATCTCCCAGACACTAGAACTGTGAGCCCAAATAAACCTCAGAAGCCAGTATTCTATTTACAGTAGTACAAAAT